GAAAAGAGAGAGACTGGGTAGAGAGAAGTAAAGGAAAAAAAAATGAAAAGCTTATCTCTGATTAGCTCTGCCTGGTAGCAACTGGAGAAGTTATCCTCTTCAAAACAACTGATGAGAAAAGACATCCTTCAGGCTAAACTGAAAAAGGTAAGTCTATGAGTCAGCTGTGCGAAGCCGCATGTTCAATCTAGCCATGTTCTGACACAGCCAGACGTAACTTTCCTTTTTGGAAACTGTGTTAGCATGGACCTGAGTCTGAGCTATGAAACTCTCCTGAGTACAGCTGTCTGCCTCCGGTGCTGTAGATGAGCCTTTTTTCTTTAGACTCGGTCCTGAGGAAGCAGTAATGCACAGCTGGCACAACTCGTGCCTGCGTCACAGGTCTGCATTAGCTGCCAGATCAAGCAGGCAGGATGAGGAGGTGATGTTTACTCTAGCTTTTTACCTTCTCTATACATCAGGAAGCCTTGCTGGAAATGCCTCGGAGTTTGAAGAACTTTTCCTTCTCCTATGCTTACTTCTATTCACCTTCTTACTCAACAGTGGTATGCTCACTACATAGGCAACTCTGTTCCCTCTCTTGTGTCAGGAAATAGGAAGGTTTTTCACATTCTTCTATGCGATCAAGAAACAATAGACTTCAATTGCGTAAAAAGAGAAATAGTCTGTTATCAAGCTCTGCTCCCAGAGAAATCACACTTCTTATTAGAAGGCAATAAATAATGTGAAAAATGTTCAGCAAAATGACCTTTAGATGAGAGGACTGAGATCAGCTTTTTATCACTGTAATATGTAGTGTTTCAGTTTCAGAACATTAGTTAAATATTTATAGCAGATGATGTCCATTAGAGTCATGTTTGGCTTAGAAATACAAAAGTGTGTGTTTGAAGATTTTTTTTTTGTTAACACATTTTGAGAGTTTCAATTTACCATCCAAAACAAAGTAAATGTGAAGAGTTTTGTGAGTTTGCCTGGAGGTATAAATTGCTGGATTCTGTTCAACTATGGAAGAGAGGCTCCAGTACAGAACTTTCTCGTGCCAAGAAAAGCAACTGAAACATGAGTTATGAGGGTACATTGTTAACCATTACTCTTTAAAGATCTATTTTTCATTTTTAAAGATTGCACAAGCACAGACTATTTTTGGAAGTAACTTCTCCCTTGGTCCCTCTTCAAAACACAGAACACATTTTCTTATTCAGTAAGGAAAGGTGAGTACCTTAATTCAAACATCTTGTACAATAAAAGATAGACTTTCAAGGGAACTCATGATGAGTTTTTAAAGAGTATAATGTTCAGAACTGGGATCCAAGATTCCACAAGATTTAGCACTCAACACCTCAAGTCCTTTTGAAATTCCAGCTATGCGGTGCCAACATGAGAATTTGACCATTTGAATATTCTTTCTCCTGTACAGATGAACCATTTGATGAAATGCCCTGTTTTCCACGTCATTATGTAACATTTGAAATTAAAGCCAATGTATTCCTTAATTTGCACTCCCATAAGTGTTTTTGTTCTCATTAGATCATCTTAACACTAAGTTAGTAGACTAAGCAACTGTGACTGCCTTTGTGTTATTGAATTACAGAATTGGTGGGTGTCAGGAATGTAAATGAATGTGCTGCTAGTCTCTTACTGAATTCAAATTGATTTTCAGGCAGAATGAAAACTGGCTGAAGGACCATAAACAGAAGATAATAGACTGCTGAGGAGAATTACCAAGCGAAATGCCTCAGAGGCATACATTAGGTCTCATGATATTTAATTTATTTTATTTAGATGACAAAGCTGACTCTACAGGACACATTTTCAGTTTGCAAGACTGTAGACCATTTAACTTCAAACAAAGAAACATGACTAATGACTTACATGGCTGTTTTACAAAAATAAGATATTTGTCATTAATCTGAGCTGCCATGTTTCTCCGCAGCCTTTCTCACCTCCAGAGAGCCCTACAGGAAGCGCCTGGGCTGCTGGGTCTAAACTTACTGCCTCGCTCGTGGCAGTCTACACATGCCCGAAAGTCTGAGCAGCCTTTACTTTGTTGTAGGTGGCCTTACATAAACATTTGCATGACTTGTCGCAGAAGACCAAACGCAATATGAACGAAAGCCAGCTGATTTCAGATAGTTGGTTGCTTTCCCTTGCACTTGCAGATATTTTAAAAGGCACTGCAAGCATATGGATATCTTGAATTGGTTGATAAAGGAGCTTTCAAACAAAATTCTATAGGACAGCTTAAATGCTGGTACATAGTTGTGTGCAACATGCGTCGAGGAAGCATTCTGACAATGTTACTACAAAAATAAACACAAAATAAATAAATGAAGCTATTATCATGAACCAGATGTGATACATTTCGCTAAGATGACTATTACAGATTCAGAGGGAGAATGAAACAGAAACAGGATTTTTAAATAGATAAACAGTGTACTGTTATCCAAAGGTAACTGAGAGGAGGATGTACAAGGATTTAATATTGCAAGAGATTCGAATCAAGTAAAACTTCACTGATGTCAGTTATCAACAGTTTAAGCAAGATCAGAATTAGCTCAAGATTTTCCAATGCATTTCTAAAATAACTTTATTGCAGCCCATACCATACAGCAAAATACAGTGTTTTAATATAATGCTGAGCTAAGAAGGGGTGAGGTATGCATTGTGGAAGCAGGATTTTCACCTGAAAAGAAACAGCTGCAGCCTATGCAAACATGTGCTGACAGCTGCTGAAAAATTATGACCTGGTAGCTGTTCGGAATTTTATCATACTCCTAAATTGTGATTTCTGACAAATGGACACATGCTCTATCAAAGAGATGAATCAACATTTTGCTGTGCATCTGCATGCTTTTACAGTATGTCATGACTATTTCTCTCTTGTCCAGACAACCGGTATCAAAATCTTTGTCAGAAAAATTGGTACCCAAAACTTGGATGGGCAATGGCCATGATTCAAGCAAAGCAAATAAGCCTGTGACTGACACTGAGGAAATGTTAAGACTTTTGCTGCCTCGGGCTTGCCAGCAGAATTACATGACCAAAATTATGTCTATGTTGTCTAAGTTTCCAAGGGAGAAAGCAGCCAAACAGATTTAATTTTCATGTTTTAAAATACAGCTAACAGAAAATGAGATTAAGATTCTAATTGACATTTATGTTATTGTGAAAATAACAACCATTTCTAAATGTCTTCTTGTTTTAATTTATCCACTTCCTGGCAAGCTGTGGAATTAATCGTGGTCTAAGAGCCTCGGCATCATAATTTAGAGGATTGCCACAGCAATGGATCAGAATGACATCTTTGACGCACTTTCTGCTAAAATATGACACCCAAAGCAAGTGACAGAAGATTTTAGGAAGAATGGAATATTTACTACCCTGCCTGAACAAACATGATGAATGAGATCACCATATTAAGTAACACACAGACCCATTCATTTTCTGCAATGCAAATGAGAAAACAGGTAGCAATTCTACACATGTACACACTCAAGCTGGAGAAAATGGCAAAGATACCTTTCAGCATTTGAAAGGGAATGTATCTTGCCACAACTTTTAACAGGAAAACATGGTTGAATTTCAACCTGCTTTGAAGTAATTCAGTAAATAACGTGAGTAGCCAAATTATCAAATATTTGTGACCCACTCCCATGAATGCATTTGAGGAAGCACGAGTATGTATCTCTAACAGGGCGAGATAATTCAGGAGGTGCAATTTCTCAGAGGAACATGCAAAGCGATGGGAGCAGCAAGGCATAAAAAAGCTCGGGTTGCTTTTTCTAGAGACACACACACCATTAGTGTGGAGTGAGTGAGCCATATAGGTCAGGGCCTCAAATAGTGCATAAAAATGTTACCCACAGGACCTAGGGAACTTTTATTTGTGTGGTTGCACTGCCATCTGCCGCAGTCTCCAGTCATCACTGCCACTCTGCAATGGGAAGATGCTGTTACAAATGCTAACAGTTGGGTTTAGTTACGCAAATATGTACGAGGATTTGGCATATAGGTACGCGACAAAAACCACTGTCAGTGATGAGGACGGGTGGTTCATGCCAGCTGAGAAGCACTCATGCACGGTGCACTTCTGCCCCAGCTGCAGCACGGGCACCTTTGCTTTGGTTACCATGGGGGAGGTTTCTCTAACACCGATGTTTCTGCATTGTCCTCTTAACTTGTAGCGCTTCAGTCCTTGGAAAGGGCCGTGGGGCTGGGGTCACCGGGTGACCCAGGTGTGGGAGGGGGTCTTGGAGGCCCTCCTTGTCGTCCCCAAGGATGGGCGTCTCTCCCCCACCCCGTGCTCCATGAGGGTGCAGTGATACTTACGCACTGCGGCGGGATGCTTTGCTCGGAGGAGAAGCCCGGGCACTCGAGGCGCCCCAAGGACGGGAGGCTGGGAGGAATGGGCACAGGCCGCCATGTTGAGGCCCTGCAACTTGGCCAGAGCCTGAGGTCGCGTCCTCGACCTCCCGCCTGCATCGAGAAGCTTTAGAAACAGTTCATTATCCTGCTGTAGCCTGCGCCTTGTTCCTCGGGAAGAGGGAGCGTTTGAACGCCCAAGCGCGGGACTCCTGGCCCGGGGCGAAGCGGCCTC